CCCCCCCCCCCCCCGAGGTGGTAACAACACTGGTTCCAGAGTGAAGACGCAGGTGCTGACACGGACTTACCTTCGCTTTAAGGTGGCAGCATCTTGAGTACGCGCTGCTCCGAAACGTACGAGACCAAGACGGCGCTCATCAGCCTGTTCGGCATCCCACTGTGGTACTTCTCCCAGTCCCCCCGCGTCGTGATCCAGGTGAGGAGCTCTTCGGGACGGGCGTCATCAGGTGCCTGTTGTGTCCGACTCCGTGATGTAGTTTCTAGCTTTTTGTTAAGGTGTAAAGTACGTGTAGGAGAGCGTGCAGTTGTGGTGCACAGCTCCGTGAGCTTGCACACAGTGGGCATGTGCAGGACCAGCACCGCCTGGGAGTCAGTGGTGCCATCACCAGTCACCCCTCAGGTCCCTCTTGCCCCAGGATTGACTGGTAACAGTGAGAGGCTGACTCTGTCCCGTCCTGAGTGTGAGCAGGCGTGGCTGTTGCAGCTGCAGGGCCCACTGGAGCGTCGCTGTGCCTGCTCGTGACTTGGGGGGGAGGGGAAGGGGAAGGTGAGCCCTGCAGGCTGCAACCACGCACCTGCGGGCTCGGGCGGTGCTGCCCTCCCAGTGCCTCACTCGCCCCGTCTTACCAATTTAAAGGACTGGAGTGTGGAGACTTGAGATCGTCAGATGCATTCATTTGACCTCAGGACTAAACTGCTGTTCTACATTAATGGTGTTTTTGGAAGAAAATTCAGATGATTTTTTATGTGAAATGTTAGCGTGAGAGTGACCTTGCACTTAGAGACCAGACCACAAGCTCAGCCTAAAAGAATTCATGGATGAGGCGAGCCCTGAGTTAGTCTCCACAAACTTAAAATGCTGGGCCCTGGTGCTGTCCCAACAGTTATCTGTCCTCGGTGCCGGCTGGTGTCTGACGTGCGGGACTGCTGACCTCTCTTCGTCCTTGCACTTGTCTGTCACCATGGTCCACAGGTCCCCCGCTCACTTTGTACACAGACATGGGCTCTGCGAGGCCTTGGGCGCACGGGGCTGCCCTTTGCCACCCATTATGTGGGCCTGGGTGCCCAGCTCGGTCACCTGGTGGTCGGGAAGCAGCTGTCCTCTACATGGTAGACACGTGAGAGCGAGAAAGAACCAGTCACCTGACCGGGAAGGAGGGTGGGAACTGCTGGCTGTCATGGGTGAGCGACAGATGGTGGATGCTCACAGGAGGGAATGTTGTGCCAGGTGGAGGGTACGCGCCCACCCTCTGCCTGGGCAGCACAGCCACCCCGGGCTCAGACCCAGACCTCTTGGGAGAAGGCACAGCTATAGCTCACTGAACGCAGCCACACCAGCGGAACCTGCCAGAAATCCACTTGGCACAGAGCCCCCGAGGGGCTGCAGGGAGACTGCGGGCCTCCCACCACTGGCGAGCATAGTCCTCGGGGTCAACACTTTAGGACTAGGCCCCTTCTCACAGGGCGGGCAGAGGGGCGACTGGAACCCAGGGGCACAAAGGACGGAGAATGGTATGTTTCCCTCGTCTCAGTCTACCCTGCCCTCTCTCTCGACTTGCGCACGGAGACCTATTGTGGCCAGCACCGCGGGGCAGCCGGTGCCGGGGCACGTGAAAGTCCCGCCATCCATGTTTAGTGCCTTTGCCAGTATCTCAGGGATGGGAGTGGGAATGTGGGTCAGAGGGTTGATGTTGCCAGGGTCGGGCTTCCTGAGCTTGCACGGTTTGCACCTTGACCAGCGCCTGTGAGCCTGCACTTCCCACAGCCTCAGTGACAGGTATTGTCCACCTTTGGGATGGTGGCCTGTTAAGTGAGCCATGGCGACACCGGCCACGTAAACTTGGGTTTCTCGTTCCTGTGCAAGGTGGACCCCTCACGTGGTTGGGGACCACTCACACCTCCTTGTGTTTGACCTGTGCTTATGTCCGAGGCCTGGCTTCTGAACTCTGCAGGACTTGCCTGTGGACTGGAGACAGTCCCCGTCAGCATTTGAGTGGCAGACCCCTCCCCCAGTGTTTTGATCTTGCTCATGGTGATTATTTTACCATGTAAAAATTCTTCTATTTTTATTTCAATATTATCAGTCTTTTTTCTTACTGCTTCTATTTTATGAATAGTTAAGCACTTGTTCAACTGTTAAGTCTTGGTGTTTTGCCTTTCTCCAGCCTGACATATATCCAGGTAACTGCTGGGCATTCCGAGGCTCCCAGGGGTACCTGGTGGTACGGTTGTCGATGGAGATCCACCCGACCAGCTTCACTCTGGAGCACATACCAAAGACGCTGTCACCCACAGGCAACATCACCAGCGCCCCCAAAGACTTCTCCGTCTACGTGAGTGTGCTTGGGCCCTGGAGGCTCCACAGGGTGCTCTCCCAGCTCAGGGCTGCTTCTGAAGCACTGCGGGCAGCCGTGGGCCGCGCAGAGGGACAGTCAGCTCCCTGCTGCTGGTCAGCTTGCCCACGTTCTTTCAGCTGCTGCCCTCTTCTCAGTGATGGGGGAACAGCCCTGAACAAAAGGCCCGCGATAACGGCCTTCCAGAGGCCCCTTTCGTGACGGAGACTGGTTTCCCCACCCGCACTAACGAGAAGCAGCTAAGTCACTGTTGTTGTCCGTGATTCAGTGATGGTCTGGTTTTGGTTTCAGGGACTAGAAAATGAATATCAAGAAGAAGGGCAGCTGCTGGGACAGTTTGTGTTCGACCAGGACGGGGAGTCACTCCAGATGTTCCCGGTCCCGGTGAGCACCTGCACCTCACACTGGTCCCCAGTTCCCTCGCCCCTGAGTCACTGGACCTGCTGCCTTAGCAAACTGTCAGAAGTGCGTGAAGGTCAGCTCTGGGGAAAGGGGAGCTGAGCCTCCTGCTTTTCCCTGAATGAGCCTTTTTAGTACACGTTTTGCTCCCCTGAACGTGTCCTGTCCTGAGCCAAGTCTGTGGCTCCTGGTGAGTTCTCGGCTTCACCTGAGTGCTGCGTCCTGCATTAAGTGCCTTGGGGTGTATTGGAACTTTCAAATAGTGTCGTTGGGACAGTGTTGGGCTCAGGAGTGTTAATATGAAATAAGTTAATTTTTTTTTGTCCCCTTTGATTTCAGAAAAGGCCTGAAAGAGCTTTTCAAATAGTGGAACTCCGGATTTTTTCTAACTGGGGCCATCCTGAATACACCTGTCTCTATCGGTTCAGAGTTCACGGAGAGCCTGCCAAGTAGGGACTCCTCCCTGCTGTTGTACATTGTGTATATACTGGGGCAGCCTGAGACACCGGACCCCCCTTCCCTCGCGAATGAGTGCGTAGGGAACGACAGGATGACGTCACCTGTTAAGTGTTGCCGACTGCCAGCAGCAGACGCGGGAATTGGAGCAATAAATGTTGTGACACCCGCTTGCCGTTGTGTCCATAGGAAATTGCGTGTGGAGTGCTTGGGTTTTGGGAGCTCCGTTAGCAGCAGGTGGTTTCGGGAAGTCGTTGAATGTATGGTTCACAAAGACACTTTGTTTTGGGGATTTGTTTTTAACATAAAGCTTTTTATATTTGTGTTTTCTCGACATCAGGAACAGAGTAAATGAAGTTAACAGGTTTGATATGTTCTTGCAGCTTCTGCACTTAGCCGTTCACTGGGGGCCAGATGTATATTCTGTGTTCAGTCCAGCACTCAGCTCTTTCAGGGAAAATCAGTGTCACCAAATCTCAGTCCTCAACTCCTTCCCTTTAGGGCGGGTTTGTCCTCCACCCAGCACCAGGTGGGGAGATGACGAAGTGTGGTTTTCTGCTCAGTTTCCTCTGCTGAGAAAAATGTTCATTCAGGGCTCGGTGTGCAGACACCCGTCAGGAACACAGAGCTGCACTGGTGTGGGCCGAAGTGGGTCTGATTGGGGAGGGGACCTCTGGGTGTAAACACACAGAAACACAGTTCTCAGGGCTCCTCCCTTTGGGTCCCCCTGGAGGTTCACTTCACGGTATGAATAGGAACCCCGAGATCCGATCTCATGGGGGTTTTCAGGTTTTCTTTAGAATTTTGCTGAAAAGGAAACACTAACATGCTCCACATCATTCAGAGGCTGTTTTTATTCCACTGTGGAACCAAAGGAGACTGTCTGGCGTGGCCAGTTCATAAAACCCTGTGTCTTACAGCTTCCTTGCGGCAGCGCTCAGCACCGGCGCAGGGGTGTCGGCCGTTCTCCTTTGATTCCTGAGATGCGTTTTGGTGATAATTAACATTTAACACTGAGTCTATTTAACTGAGCAGACTTTATAAGTGAGATATCCACGAGGCACTTACGGTGTTACCGATGTTTTACCTTAAAATTATTTAACTTTTATTTGGGTTAAGAGTGTTTCTTGGTGTACCATAAATTGTTGTATTTTCAGGAAAAGATAAAATGATGGTGCTGACAGGTCCTCTGGCATTTTATGTATATTGCACAGCAGTCCTCCAGTTCACCAGCCTGGTGGCTTTTTATTAGCTTAGAGTGGGAACTAAAGCCTGTGCAGTTGAGTTGGATAAAATGTATGCAGATGTTTCCTGTATTACAGGATAAGTATATAAATCAGAATTTCCTATATAAAACTGAATTTGGGAGTTGGGGTGGAACTATTTTGAATATTAATTTATTTTTAAAGATGCAGGATAGGACTTTGTGCAGTGTATTTTTGTAAATGCTTTTCCAAATATGTCTCTGGTAGTGCTGCTGCTGCCACCAAACTGATGCTATTGAAATGTTTAAATAAAGAATTTAATTTTTAAAAGTGCACGTGATACTTCGACTAATAAACAGCGCCTCTCGGTCGGGTCGCTGTGTCTGCCCCGGGGCTGGGTTCGCTGCCCTCTGCCTGCGGTGTCGGGACTCGAGGGAGCCCGCCCCGTCCCGCCCCGCGCTCCCCGGGGCCCCGCTGTGCAGTCGGGACGCCCACCTGCACGAAGGGCTGGCTTGCAGGGCCGGTCGCTCGACGAGGAAATGGGGGAGGGGTGACCTCCCCGAGCACCCTGTGGTCCTGCTGGCGACCGGCGGGCGGGGCGCGTCCAGCCCCTCCGGGTTTGCTGGCGAGCACAGGCTGGGGCAGAGGGTCGGGCTGCGAGCGCGGCACGCGGCTTATCGCCGGCGGGGCCCA